GGCCATAATTGCAGTCAGATGCATGCAGTAGAAGCCGCAACTTCGACCAGATCCATCCAGGAAAGTCCGGGAGCGAGTATGCTCTGAGAGTCGCTTTTTTAAATTTGATCGGCAGGCAGGCAACGATTCTGTGAGTGAATGGTAAACTACCTACGCGTAAATAAATAGTAATGAATTCCTTTCAAAAAAAAGAAAAAAATAATAATAATAATGAATTATGAATTTCAAATTACAATTTAGAAAAGAAGGGGAGAATTCCCTGCATAGACCCTGCTCAGTTTGGAATGACCACCATGGCTCCACTACTCACCAATTGTACAAAATAAGAATCGAATCTTTGGCTAGAACGTTGAAAAATACACTGCCATATTTTTTGTCTTTTGTGCGTGTGGTGAGTAGTGGAGCGAGGCCTAAAATCTTTTTTTGGGGGAGCATCTTTAGCTACAAGCTGCGTAATCCTCTCCTCTGAGACCATACATACATGTCAGAGGCAAGGATTAAACAGCTCAGAGGCAAGGATTACACAGCTTGTGGCTGAGATACATTCGCCCCTTCGAACAATTGGTGAGTAGTGAAAGGCGAGGCGCACAAGCCGTGTTGGCAACCCGTCAGGGGTGCGTTTATCATCCCCCTGAGACTTGTCAACGCCATTGAAATTTCAACGTCGGTGGTCGTTGGGGGAGGGTGGGCAATTTGAGGTTTTGGGGCATTGAAATTTCAAAGTCCTTGGTCGTTGGGGAGGGTGGGCATTTTGTGTTCTTTTGAGCATTGAAATTTCAGCCTCCTTGGTCCTTGGGGAGGGTGGGCATTTTGAGGTTTTGGGGCCTTGCAAGGGGCGGGACCACGCAGGACCGGTAGCTGCCCGTTGTGTTTTTTGGGCATTGAAATTTCAACGTCGGTGGTCGTTGGGGAGGGTGGGCATTTTGAGGTTTTGGGGCCTTGCAAGGCGCGGGACCAAGTAGGACCGGTAGCTGCCCGTAGGAGGCCGAGGAGGCAGCGGAACATTTCAAAATGGAAACGGAGAGGGTCCACTTTTCTCGAATAGCAGAGCACTTCGAATAGAACACGTACACGTTGTAAATACGTGTACCCTTTCTATTCGAATTTTGAAAAGAAAAACCTTTTGTATCCCAATAA